GGTCGTCAGCAGTACTCCTATTAACTTGTAGTAAAATATGATCACAAACAGTAAAGCAGAGAATTTGCTACAAAACTGTCTAAACAAAAATGAAAGACAAACGTATCATACGTAAAGCTAGCTTAAAAACTGAGCTGATATGCGTTGTTAGAAGAGAGCCAAAAAAACCTGCCACAATCTGAAGAGAACCTAAAATCAGATGTAGCAGGCACTAACGATAGCATGTAGAGGGAATATCATTGAATTATTTACCTAAATGTTAGCAAAACAGTGTTAGCATAAATAGTTTAAAATGAGCTTTTCCAAAACATTGAACCAATAAGGTTCTGCTAATAAAGGCACGAGGAAAAACAAACAACAATTATATCATTCAAATTTACACAGAAAAACAAAAGGCAAAAAGAAATCGACTGTATTATATTCCTTGTTCAAAACCCAGAGCCATTATTACCATTACTGCCTGGCTCTCAGTCCTGTTAGAAACATAAACAAATACAACACAAAACCATGACATTTTTTATAATTCATCTAAACTGTGTGAAATGATTGAAACAATATCTGTTTGGCTGAAATGAACATTTCGGCGTCCATCCTTTGTTAGCAGCATTGAAACAGCCGCTTCATTACTGGCTGCAGTCACAGCATCATAACCAACGCTGGGCTTTTGATTTCTATTGTGATTCAGTCTAATCCCATAAATACCACACATTCTGGTCCAAATCCAACCAGCCACATGTGAGTCAGTGTGGCTGCTGATTAGAAAAACTGACTCACTTTTACCTTAATCAAACACATACAAGTATACCCACACACACACACACACACACTCACACACACAGAGGGAGAAACTACTGCAAACAAACAAACAAACAAACAAACAAACAAACTTCCAGCACATTATCAAAAGAAAACAAAGTGTGATTGCTGCCCCAGGCACAGTGGAAATACAGAGACACGGTCCAATTATTGGGAGAACAGGAGCTATGAGGCCACAGCATGAATAAAACAACAGAAGTACATGGAGTATGACGAGCTGAGCTGGAGGTGAGGGTGGAGGAGGAGGAGGAGGAGGAGGAGAAGGAGGAACAGGCAGCAGGATGGTAAGGTGGTGAACCTCAAGGGTCTACTCCAGGATGTCTGGGAAAGTGCTGCCCGGGGGGCGGGGGGGGGGCTGAGTGGTCAGGAGGCTGAGGATCAGGCTGGACATATGTTCTATCAGTCCTGAGGACCACGGCCGTGACGGCCGCACAGACCGGGGATATTAAGGGTAAAGTGTGGAGGGGGAGGAGGTGGAGACGACGACGTAGAACACGGGGAAAAAAAAGAACAAGTCTGTAGCTTCCTCTCCTCGTGAGCAGAACACGGCCCCCTGCATGATGCTATTTATATAAAAATATGAGTCAGGTTTACAAGCACGGAAGAGTCATGCTCATCCTGCATGACCACACTGGCAATTACTTTCTCTGCTGCTGCTGCTGCCGCTGCTTCTTCTCTGTGCGGCTCCTCCTGCCGCTGCGGCTACGGCTGCTGCTGCTGCTGCTGAGGCTGCTGCTGCTGCTGCCGCTGCACACCATCCATTTGTTTATGAATCCATCAGTGCCTAGTTAAACATCTGACTCTCCAGGGACGGAGCTGCTGCTGCTGCTGCTGCTGCTGCTGCTGCTGCGGGTGCTCCTCACAGCTGTGGAACCTTCTCTGGGTCAACGGAAGCAGAGACTCGTCCATTCAATAGAGTGAGAACACACCAGTTGATCCTGATCTTCTCTCCTTCTAAAACGGTTATGAGACCAACAGGAGGTCTCATGGAAGATCTGAGAGGCCGTTTTAAAAATGACTATTTTGGTCTGCGCATTACGTTTTCAGAACAGATGAAATGCAATAAAAGGGCGGGTTGTTTAAAATTATAACATCAAAAAAACTCCTGAAAAAAACAAAAGGGCGGGTTGTTTAAAATTATAACGTCAAAAAAACAGGATTCTTGCTCAGAATTGAGCATCAAGACCTTCAGTGTCATCGTAGCTGCTCACAAAACTCTCCACCTCTAGTGCTGTTCTCTCCAAGCCATAAATGGTAATAAACATTTTGGATTGTTGATTTCCTGCAGGATAATATGAATAACAAAAGCACCAAAAAAAAAAAAAAAATCTGTTATGTTTTCATGTGGAAAACAACCCTGAGGAAACCTCTGAGGGCAGCAGAAGAAACATCATGGTAATTACGCCTACAGTGAATATTCCACACATTCATCGCCGCGTTGGTGTGTGAGTGTGTGTGTGTGTGTGTGTGTAAATGTTCTCATGAATCTTCTGCTGTGCTTGTGGATGAAGCTGTCACTCGCGCCGCTCCTCTTTTGTCTTTTTTATGGATGCACACGGAATCTAATTCATCATCATCCTGGCATAATTATGGAAATTTCTGGAGATTTGTCGGGACTTTTTTTTGCGCGACGCCATCGCTGCCAAAGATCTGCGGCGGCCTTTGATGAGAGGCTGCAGGGACAGATCTTTGTATTAATGTGCGAGCGTGTTCACGCATGTGAAGAATTCTCATTGTTTTAACTGCTCAGCTGAAAGATGCTGTGTGGAGTAACAGTGCTGCATTTATCAGCACCTTATGGAGAGTTCATTTATCAGCGCCGCCTGTTTAATGTTAGATTAATATCTACTTTACGTCCATCTCCCTCAAAGATGTCCCTTTGCCTTGGGAAAGACTTTGCCCCGACTCCGAGGCAGCACATGTCAGGGACGAGGACATTTCTGTGACATTTACTCAGCAGATGGTGAAAAGCTCTGCCATTATTTCATCACTGCGTCTTTTTTTTATTTGCATGCGCGCAGCCTCCTCTAATCAGCATCACTGGAAATGTCAGGGTTTGCATTCATAACTTATTCAAGAGCAAACGTATTGCTCTTGTCCTTGGTGAAAGGATAGTGTGTCAATCTTTCTGACCTTTGTCCAGCTTTGTCAATTGGCAATTTGTCTACATGTAGCAATTGGATTAAAGCTCAAATCTGTTAAAACACCTAAAGGAACAGAGGGGTAATAGTTGTAAAATGATCTCATTTTTGGTACGTACCAAATCTCAAGAATCCCGAGTGCTAAACCAAAAGGTTTTACTTTTTCACTGAAACGTTCTCTTTAAAAAAAAAAATTATTTGACCATCAATTCTGATGTGATTCCTCCCACCGTTCACCCCTGGTGTTTATCCATTCACAGCGTGTCATGTTGTGAGGCTACATTGTAAAGAATATCTAACATCAAAACACAGAATGCAACACAATGTAACAGATCGATAGAGTCGTTTTCCTTTTCAATGCCAGCGACATCACAGCACTCTCATAATAACAGCCCTTCTCCACCTCTCTCTCTCTCTCTCTCTCTCTCGCCCTTCTTACATAAATCAAAGAACAGGGCTGGGAGCTGAGCCGGGCCCCAAGAGCACGCTGATCACCCTGACACTCTCCCCACGCTGCCAGTCTCCTGGGCGGCTCAGGCCCCTTCAGGAACCCACTTTTGCACGGGGGGGGGGGGGGGGGGGGGGGGGGGGGGGGGAGGGGTCTGTCACAGAGGTCATGTGCATTCAGTTACTGTAGAACCATGTGACAGATACAGGTGGATGCATGATGTGAATAATAAACAAGTCGATATTTTCTAGCAGTTGGAGGTAGGCAGCTAGACCTGCAAGCGTTTCGTGAAGATGTTTGACCTTTAATGAAGAGGCTCCTTCAGCTCAGATCTAAGGATGTTAGTTTCACCTGATCGGAGGTCTAAACTCTGACTGACACGTCTGACTGTTCTGAGGGACAAACACAGAAGTACATTGATGTTGGTGGACAGTTGGTGTCGTAGTCACCATCCCATGTTTTCAAAGATGGTTTATTTACTAGTGTCTGGAATGATCTGAGGTCTCCAACAAAAGATTCTCTGTTCCATCGTTCTTTTCAAACAAAAGCATTGTTTTCTAGAAACTCAAATAATTCTACTTTTAAACTTCTCGGACTGCCTTTTAAATGGGTAACTTGAAAAGTACGCGTTAGTACTTTTTGTATCTCTGTTTTTATTCTGCAAGGCTCAGACATAAAAATATCGTATTCCACACAGTACCAACCTGTCAACTATTGTGCTGTAGTAGCTTTTCCCGAGAGAAATCAATTAATCAATAGTGTCATTCTTTAAAAAGACCAAAAGACAGAGTTTTGCCTCTGACCTTTGTTGTGAATCTCCCGTTCTTTTGATAACATGCTTCAGTTTTTAGCCTAGGGCTTTGTTTCTGCTACAGCAGACGTAAAAAAATAAAAATAAAAAAAATCCAAAGTTCAACAAAACAAAAGCAGCAGGGATTAGACGAAATGAAGGGAGAGCAAGTCAAAGACTTCCTGCTTGTTTTCACGCTTGTGTGACAAATCCCACTGTTGTATCCCTCTTGCATGCAACTACCACACACACACACGGGGGGGCGGAGGGGGAGGGGATGCAACCAAAGCACTCTGATGCACCGGGCGTGAAATCTCCTGACAGGTAAACAACAATGATATGGATAGAAGACTCAGATGAAAGCGTAGGGAGCAGAAACCACGTAAAGAAAATAAAGCACTTTTCAACCAAAGCAGCCGGAGTGCAAACAGCTCTCAAAGAAAAGAGACAAAGAAGACAAAATGTTTGAGTCAAATGCAAATTGAAAAGATCTGGCAGTCGGCCCAACAGCTTTGAAGCATATATACTCGGCTCATGACAGATTTACCATCATCAAACTGCAATTCCAAATTGAAAAACACAAATCAATAGGAAAGCAAAGGGGAACACAAAGATAGCTTCTAATTTATGATGCCCAAATTTACTTGATGATGCTGGGGTGATTAAAAATTAGACAACACTGATAAATCACAAACACAACATCAATAACGAGGCAACAGTTCCTCATTTGTTATAAAAAAAAAAGCATTGCCATCTTACCAGGGCAACAGTTCCTCATTTGTTATAAAAAGCATTGCCATCTTACCATGTCTCGTCGTTTTTGAACTCCAGCTCCCCGTAGGTGTCTTCAAAGTCTTCCCCTCCTCCTTTGGCGAGTCCGTCCACGGTGCGGTACGGCACAACGACAGTTCCCCTTGCTCCTGAAGTCCTTAGCACTTTCACCTCCATAATACCGATGCCTTCACTGATGTGCACTTGGTTGCTCTCGAATGTGAAGATTCCAGAATGATCATCATCAAGAATGGTCACGGTTGCCACAGAAGGGAAGCCCAGCATGTGACTGTTGAAGATCATGAACTCTTCATCAGGGTCCAGGACCTGCAGGTTGCTCAGGCGTACAAAAAAGTGCTCGTCCTCCTCAAAAATGTCATCGTCGATGATGCCGACACTTATTTCCTTGATCATCTCTCCTGGCTTGAAAACAGCTGTTCCCTCTGTGAACTCGTAGTCGGCGCCAGCGTTGGCTGAACCGTCTTCGGTCTTATAATCCACAGAGATGGTCTTGCTGATGTCACCGCCTTTTCTGGTGATGGTCAGGATGACGGCGCCACAGTTCTCCAGGCACTGATAGACGGCCGGTTCAAAAGTGACTCGAGAAACGTACTCTTCTGTCTCATCCACGCGAACTTCCTGCACGCTGGCACTCTTTTTGGCCTGTTCTGCAACGTGTTTCTTCAGGATGTTCCCAGCGCCGGTCATCATGCGCGTGGCTTGGATGCGGTAGAAGGCTCTGCTCTTTTGCTGGTGTGATAGTGCGTAGTAGTTGGCCATCTCAACCAGCTGATCCAACTCTTTCTCCGGGTGCTTCTGCTTCAGGTCTTTAAGTATTCGGATCATGTCGCGGCGTGACTCGTCTACCTCCTTGTTTTCGATCAAACCAATCAGATTACTCGCCACACCTCCATCCATGAAGTGGGAGTTGACAAGCTTGCCGTCCATCTCAATACCCTTAGAGCGTTCCGTCTCTGTCTCAATGATGACTCCTCTGTGTTTGTCGGTGCGATATTTCTTGTGCATGAATCTGTAGAACAGCAACCGTCTGTCCGCCACCCATGCGAGGACTACACATATGGGGAAGAAGGCCAGTGTTAGGAGGCCTTCCCAGACCTGGACGACATTGGGAGAAAAGACGGCCAGAATCATGTAGAGCCAGATGTAGGCAAAGATGCTCCAGCCTGCCGTGATGAAAAACACTCGAAGGTGTTTGACTTTGCGTACTTCTCCTTCAGGGATGACTAACACACAGAGGCCAATGATGACAAACATGTTAAAGGCTGCACTGCCGACAATTGTGGCAGGCCCGAGCTCCCCAGATTTGAACTCGTGACCACAGACCTCGATCACAGAGAGCATAATCTCAGGGGCAGATGAGCCTAAGGCCATCAGGGTGAGGTTGGAGACCGTTTCGTTCCACACCCGGATCGTGGTGGTTGTGGTTTCACCATTGGGCCGTTTGATGACAATTTCTCTCTCCTGGGATGTGATGACCTCGATGGCAGCCATGAAGCGGTCAGCGATAATGGAGACTCCAAGAAACATGTAAATCATGGCCACAAAATACACAATGACCCTGGCAACCTTGTCTCCCATAGAGGGGTCCTCTGGGTACCATATCGGCAGGATGATGCCTGGGTTGCACTTGGAGTTGCCGTGACAGGTCCCATTGCTGGGGCTAAGCAGAGGACTTGGAGTGGTCCGGGCCTCTGTACAAAGGAAGGCTACAGCCACCGAGGCCAGCCCCAACCAGAGGCAGGCTGAGGACCCCGGCTTTCCAGGTCTTGAACCCTCCATGCACCCTTCTACGTCTTAAGGGTCCTTACCACACTGAAGGTCCCTCTAGGATCCAGCACTGGGCTGGGATTTTCCTCCACCCACCACCTGAGAGAGAGGATTTTCCTCCACCCACCACCTGAGAGAAAAAACAAAAAACAGACAGAAAACAAATTAAATGAATGTTGTTCACAGTCCAATCTTCAGTACAAATAAAGATGTAAGCCTCTTATGTGGGAAACAAATATGAACGGGGACAACGGTAATTAAACAATTGCTTCATCCTAATTTATTAGTCCTATTAGATGAATAACTGCATCTACTGCTTGATAAATATTTAGTGCCGTGGCTAAATGCGTTAATTATTCAAACTGAGCTAATGCATTTATTCAACTCACATAATAATTCATTAACTAATGCACTCAGACAACAGAATGGTTACCCAACCCATGCTGTATTTGTACATTTGTACAAAACACAAAGTTTGAGTAATTGTGGCAGCAGTTGTTGGATTAAAATGAGACAGGAAGCACATTAGAGATCCTCATTATATAGATCTGCAACACAAATATACATATATTTCTAGAGACCATTTTCACAGGCTGTCTTTGTTGGCAAGTTCAGAATCACGGTATGATTAAAGGCTGGTTTTAAGGCACTATGACCAAATACCATCACTTTCAATTGTTGTCATTTGTTTCATCACTTGATTAATTATATAAGGAAATGTTTTCATTGCAAAAAACACCCCACACACAGTGCCCAGTGGACCATCCATACAAGACTGGGAGGTTTGGTACGAGTTTTGTTGCTTCCTTGAGATAGAAGAAGAAGAAGAAGAAGAAGAAGAAAAAGAAGAAGAAAAAGAAGAAGAAAAAGAAGAAAAAGAGGAAGAAGAAAAAGAAGAAGAAGAAGAAAAAGAAAAAGAAAAAGAAGAAGAAGAAGAAGAAGGAGAAGAAGAAGAAGAAAAAGAAGAAGAAAAAGAAGAAGAAGAAAAAAAGAAGAAGAAGAAGAAAAAGAAGAAGAAAAAGAAGAAGAAAAAGAAGAAAAAGAGGAAGAAGAAAAAGAAGAAGAAGAAGAAAAAGAAAAAGAAGAAGAAGAAAAAGAAGAAGAAGAAGTGTGAACCACTAGAACATGAGTTTAACCTGATCTTATCTCATGGATTAACGTCCAGTCATTCTAAATCAGTGTATGATGGTCTGAACCCACTTCTGTTACGCAAAGTTTGAACCAAACAGTACTCAGCATGAGTGCAGTTTTGCAAAACTAAAATGTCACAAAGGTCAAAAGGTCGTCAGGGCACCATAAAGAGGCAAACATCAACTCAGGCTACAGATGTCCTGTCCAATTTTATAATAAATACATACACACTCGCAGCTTCTGCCGGTGAAAATAAGAACAGATATTTTCCAAATTCAAAAAGCTCAGTCTCAGGATCCTATGGCCCTTTCTTTGACTCTCATCAGAGTCAACTTTTTCTTTTCTTTTGAAGTCAACAAATGAGGCCAAAGGCAACGCGAGCACAGAAAACAGTGAACCAAATTCAGGAGAGGAAAACAGGAGAGATTAGCGGTTGAATTGATTCCCTGTTTATCATATTTCGAGGTTGACGACATGAAGTGGTGTTGATTCTGTAGAACTCCACCACACATGTGGGCCCATGAGGCACACAGTTAAACTCTGACCTGAATTAAAATCCTCTCTTCTTCCTAGAGACAGTGAGGCAGTGAGAGGTAATGATTCTGCCCTGAATTCTTTGGAGGATTGTGTTTTTCTTTTTATCGCTGCAGCTCATTTCTCTGAGCTGCTGTTCAGTCACGGACAGCAGTACGTACAGAAATCAGACTCCCAATGATGGAAAAGCTCAGGATGTATTGTGGGAAATCTGTCCTCATTGGTCAATTCAACTAATGTACAACATGATAAAGGACCTTGACTGATAACCACTCCCCTTTTACTGTGTAATTTGTTGCTTTATTCTGTTGTTTGGGAGAGTTTTACTTTAAGGGTCAGATTGATGCTTCTTCTGGGTAACAGAGTATTTTTGGACGATATACGGTAGTTACTCTGCGGGTGACGTTTGTTTCTGGATTCCTCCTGATCATTTTTTGTATTGATGATTGATTTTTGATAAACATCTTTTCACCAGTCTTTCCGTCTCTACTGGAATGTTTTGGACGAGAAGTCCGTGAAGAAAGACCTGCTGGAAACGGCCAAAGTTTTCCCCGCCTAACAGGTTTAGGTGTCAAAAAGAAGCGCACCTCAAAGATGTAGTTGAGCAAGAAAGGGTTCAAAACAATAAAGGATACACTCCAGTCGTAGTGAGTGAATTCTCACCGCGACTGGAGTGAAGGCCTTTCAGCTGAGGGTCCTCCAAGTCCTTTCACATTGATGCTCCAAGCATTAATGTTTCTGATGCTAAATAACCAAAGGTTAATCAGAAACATTAATGCTACAACAATCGACAGACAAATATTCACGTCCTCCTTCTTCAAACAACTACAACAGTGAGCAGAGATAAAGCAGTGAAACAACAAACTACATGTTTACATTTTTAATGAAAACGTGAACCAGCTTTTATGGAAATGTGGTTTATACCATGTCAAGTGTGCCTCCAGGCCAAACACGTTCAAGTCTGAGACGTGCCCCACATCCTGAATACCAAAGGCCCATAATTGGTTGCTACAGGTGGGACAGGAGACCAGCGATGTCCCACAAGTGCATTTTTGTGTTCAGATTCCTTAAACTGTTAAAATCCCGCTCGAACTTTGATGTAGACGACATGTTCTCATTTTACTTTCAGATCCTCGGTGGATTAAAGAAGAATCCATTACTTGGCAGATGTCTCGCCGCAGATTTGTTTCATTTTGTATGAATCTTATTTCTTGTTCTGAGTCTAAAACCTTCAAGTTTTTCCAGCTACATCACGTCCCCAGTGACATTTCTGGAAATGATATCCATGGTCCAGATGGAACAGTGGCCAGTTTGGAGCGATGACAGAATTTGTAACAGAGGTGAGGATAGTCAAAGAAGAGCTGGCAGTTCTGCCGCACTTATCACTCTTTAAAAGCCAAATATTAGAACTTGAGCAGAGTCAACACACATCTCACAGGGGCGAGGTTTCAATCAGAGTCGTGTGTGCAAACAAAGGGGAAAAAAAGGATCTATAATCTATTCTGGAATTAATAATTTGGAGTGTCATTATAAGGCAGAGCTTCAATGAGTTTCAAGAGTTTCAGAGATGAGAAGTTTGAGGGAGAAGCGCTAAAGCATAAATAGCTTTGTTCTCAACTCGAAATTAAATTCCTCAGATGTTAAAAAGACGTTGATTGCAGCGCGGCCCATTGATCTGCAGGATAGAAATGGGGTTGACTGACCGCCGATGACAGCAGGAGCCGAGACGGGGAAGATAAATTTAACTAAATTAGAACCAACGAAGCTCAGCGCGAACAAAAACAACAACAGTGGAAAAAAGGGAAAAGTTTGGGATGGAAGTTTTTATTTGATTAGAGAGAAGTTCGATTTGAAGACCAAAGTTTTGAAACGGCCTAAAAAAAGGCTGAGGAAGCTGTTACAGTATTATAGAGCTGAGCGCCCACTGATCTCAGGGCTGTACACCTTTGACAACATGGTGACACCACCTCAAATATAGAAAGAATATAAAACCACATATTTACAGTCACACAAATACTGAACCTAAACTGTCCTGTAGCTGTTGAGAAGGTTTAAGGTCAAATGAACATTATAACATTAAACTATTACAACTGTTTCAAACTGGACAATTTTGTTTCCCCCAAAATGTCTTAAACTCTAACAAACAGAAATCGGGAAAAAGTAGAAAATTCAGACAGAGGGCAGTGTCACGGCAGATGAGCACAGGACTGTACAATGCAAGTGGTAATTTTAAAGAAACCTTTAACGGATAACTTTGATCACTCCTGTTCCTGGGTAGGTCAAAAGAACAGGAATTAAAGGGGTAGTTCTTGTTTTTTTTTTAGTACGGTTGCATTAAGTGACTGCGACTAAAAATTCTAAATAATGTTCTGAAATGAGCGCATTATTAAACAGTCTTTAACAGAGTGTAAGCAGCTAGTTTTTCTGCACGAATGTTCATAGGGAATTTTTGTATTTTTAGCTCGTCGGGACACAGTAGCTGCTAGTCTACTGCTGCTTTGTTAGACAAGTCTGTCTCTGAAATAAATCATGATTCAAATGCAAATATCACAGAAGAACACATTTGGATTTACCTTTAGCTGTAGTAAACGATTAACAGCAAACTGAGAGCTGCAATATCACTGGAGTTCAAAGCGACAACAACTTTCACCACTACAGATGACGCTAAAAGTTAAGGCAAAAAGCTCATTTTGGTTGTTGTGGGCTTTTTGTTTGTTTGTTTGTTTGTTTGTTTGTTTTGTTGCATTGCTACCAGCTCATGGAACCAAATGTCCAAACCCCTTCAACATTCCTTTAACATGAGCTGCAGATACATTTCAAAGATGAGAAACTAGCAGCGGAGATAAATAAGACGTTGTTGGCATTAAGAGACTGAAGAAAATGTAGTTTTTTCCCCCTTTTACAAACAGAGCAGCAGCCGTGGTGCTGCTGCTGACTGGCCTGCTTCTCTCTGTCTCTTTTATTGAATGGTGGCGAGCCGGGGTGGACAGTGAGAAAGTGCAGAGAGGCAGAAAGAAGACGGTAGAGGTGGACAGAGAGACAGCAAGAAAGAGAGAGAGAGAGAGAGAGAGAGGAGACTGTCTGTGGCACAACCTGGGGACTTGAATGATTAAATGACTGCTGCTTTTAATTGGTCATAGACTAGTGGAAGAGCAGCATTAATCCAAGGTGTCAGATCACATTCCAGTCATTAAAGAAAAGCATGAAACTAAGCCAAAACTATTTCTGGATCAGCTGATTTAAGACAACAACATGGATGGAGTTTACCACCTGAAACCATGTCAGCAGTGGTTTGACACTTGACCCCAAATTACCTTACACAACTCCCCATGCAAGTACTGAACCCAAACCCTGACGAGGTTTCATCAGGTACATTGATTAAGATGAATGTTTCAAAATCTGGGCCGCCATTGGTTCTCTGTGTTGGAGTCCAA